GTCACGAAGAAGCCTGCATTTCTGCAGCATTTCAAGGAGCCACTCTTCCTCTTCATTAAGTTCTTGTAACATTATTAATAGTGAGCAAAGATATAAGGTACCAAGAACCGTTCTGTGATATCTATGTTAAACACTTAAATAATTGAAAAAGACTAAAAATTTCTAAATATAAGTATATATATTGTGGGGTGAAACACAAAAGTGTAAACAAGAATTTAAGTAATTGTTTCAAGAGAAGAAGAGTTGAATTATACGTAAATATTACACATAACACTGCGCAAATTGAGAAGACAATGTCCAACAATCCTCAGTGGAAAACGTTCCAGCCGCCAATCATGAACTCTGACCCAGCAATACTCGACTATAAGTCTATGGCTATACCAAGTCCTAAAGCCATAACGGAATATCAGCCGACAACTAATAACTATCGAAATGGTACCAATTACAGTGGCGATCATATAGTTTCACCTCCTGAATGTAAAAATTCAACCAACTACGGAAGTTATCCTGGTACACAGTCATCGCCACGCAATGGCGCTACAAGATTCCCGTTTGAATTTACGGGTATGGAGACAAATGCTGGGTATACAAACGAACCTGCCACCAGTAATTCCACCTATCAGGATCAATCTGCGAATCAAGGAACACGAGAAACTGGTATAATTGAGAAATTATTGGTGAGTACTACAGATGTTATGGGATTTATCTATAATTATGAAATATATAAACAACTAATTTATACGCGGTTTTTCTTCAACAGCATTCTTACGGATTCATACAGTGCTGTGAAAGACAGGCAAGATTGTTTTTTCATTTTAGCCAATTTAGCGGTAATATTGAACATTTGAAGATTGGAGATGCGGTAGAGTTTGAAATGACTTACGATCGACGAACAGGCAAGCCCATTGCAAGCACCGTTAGCAAAATTGGCCCAGTGGTTAGCATAACAATAACAACAACAATAATAATAAAGAAATGATAGAGTATTATAAAAAAATGTAAATGTACGCACATTTCTTTTAGTCATTAGGTGATCAAAGATGCATCGGTAATGTAACCACAGAGTTACAAGCAAGTGGCGATTCGGGACGTATCACTTTCGAATACCGTGGAGAATGTTTTTTTCTGCCATATACCAAAGATGATGTTGAAGGAAACGTCACCTTACGTACTGGTGATAAAGTATCATTTCAAGTTGCAAATAATCAACGGTATGATATGTTTTTACATTATATACATATATAGCATTTATTAGTAAGAAAACTTATAGAAGTAGTAATTTCTTTTCTTACACATGCAACGCTTATATTCTAGAGGAGTCTTGAATGCATGTAATGTAAGGCTGGAAAATCCAGCACATCCAGTTCGTTATCGCGGAGTGGTATGCTCAATGAAAGAAAATTTTGGTTTTATCGAGCGTGCTGATGTAGTCAAAGAAATATTCTTCCACTTTAGCGAAGCTAAATCTATGAAAGAAGAACTTAGGCTAGGAGATGATGTGGAGTTTATAATACAAACGCGCAATGTAAGTAAAATAAAAACTGTGTAAATGTTTCTTTGAAAAGACTCATATGAGCAACATATGATTTAAATAACGAAGAATCTGAAGGCATAAAAAATTACGTATACGTTACTTAATTATACGTAAAAAAAATTTAGTTGTAACCGTAAGTCCAAAAGCATATTGACCAATTGCATTCGCACGTTTTAAAACGTGTGATCACAATCTTTTTTTATTATGATTGGTCGATTTGCTTATGGCCTTATAATTATGATTAAAATTTTTCTACATGTGGTGACTTTAATTCAATGTTTTCCTTTTGTAGGGGAAAGAGGTAGCTTGCAACATTACAAAGTTACCACCCGGCTCAATTGTATTTGAGGAAGTCAGCAACGAAGTGGTAAAAGGCCAAGTGTTGAAACCTTTGGAGAGAGGTAATGCTGCTCGTCATCAAAATGATCCATTACCTGGTCGTATTCGATACAGAGACAGTGATCATTCTGAAGTTGAAGTGCCCTTTGGCGATAAAGATCAAAAGGGAGACTTTACTCTTAGGTAATTTATGTGAATTAATAAATGTATTTTTTAAATTTTATATAGTTATATACATCGGGCTGTGATATAATGTAAATTAATTTCTTTAATATAGGCATGGGGACTGGGTTCAATTTCGTATTGCAACAGATACTAGAGATCAGCTCAAAAGAGCTACAGAGATAATGTTATTACCAGAATCTTTCACCGTGTCTGGAGAAAGACGAGAGCAGGGTGTAATACAATCTCTCAAAGATGGTTTTGGCTTTATTCGTTGTGTAGAAAGAGAGCCCAGACTTTTCTTTCATTTTAATGAGGTTCTTGATGTTGATAGAGAAATTAGTGTAGGAGATGAAGTTGAATTTACAGTCGTACAAGTAAGTAC